TATTTAGATGTTGCTGAACAATGACAAGTTAAATTTTTGCTAAGTCAATGTATAAAAAAGTAACCAAAAAAACATATTATAAAACAGCTTTTTTCATCAGAGAAATAGATTTTTCAGATTGAAAGAAAATGAACGTGTTTCTATTATTGTGGTTAATGAACTGCTATTCCTTTTGAAATTTCTTAGAGATTCACGCGATAGAATAAATGCAAACTGCAAACCCGTTTTCTCGCATTGATATTTGGTAAAGCATTTTGGCGAAATTGTACCTACCTAGTTTTCTTTGTAGTGGAGTAAACCTTTTCTCTATACTAATTGAATCCCAAGGGATGTCATGTAGTACACTTTTTCTCTGTACTGCCTGTACTGCCTGTACTGCATGTACTGCACTTTTCTCTGGACCTCCTTATACAGTACATGCAGTGATCAAAGGGTTTCAAACTCTCAGGCCAAAGACTAACATTTTTCTTTGAATTGTAGAGAAATAGTACACTNTAATCAACAAACATATATAATGAACCCCTTTTCTTAAATTAAAATAGTACACTGTACTCTATAAACATGCAACGAACTCTAAAGGAATTGTATACATATTACATATATAATCAACAAACATATATAATGAACCCCTTTTCTTAAATTAAAAGTTCACAACGATAGATATGTTCACAACTAATTCAATCTTAAGCTGGTTAAATATGTTCCCGAGGTTAAGGATAATGAAATAATAGCTTTTGCCATGGAGATAAGATTTCTTGCAAGTTTTTTAGATCTTTCAGGAGTAGATATCGGCTCAATGGTGTTCTTATTAGAGAAAAAATTAGTTTTGTTTTTGTTAAAAAAAAATTAAAATAGAAACGAATTAATTAAGAAATTTATGTTACTGCTAAGGACTGAGAACGTGCAGACATGTTTGACACCTCTCGTTAACGGTTCGCTCCAATCGTTGAAAATGCCATCTTTTTATAAATCCGTGATCGTTCTCAGCTAAGAACTGAATTTTCAGTTTACGATTCATTTCAGAGAGAATCTTTAAAGGGAGTGAGTGTCGTTGTAATTTCAATTGACACTCATGAATTTAAAGAGGTCCTTTATTCATTCACAACGTCAAATTTCCTCCATTGTTTTTGAAGCATAAATGCGCAAGTCACTTTTACAGACAAAGCTTTATGACTGCCGTTGTTAATCGTCTATGCCACTATTTGCAACTGGAAGGCAATTTGAAATTGCGTCAATAATTCTTTTAAATAGGATGATAAACCTGAGTTGGGAACTTTTAAATAGGATGATAAACCTGAGCTGGGAACTTTTGAATGGAATATCCTTAATTCTGATCGGTTAATTAATCTGGAGATTATTAACAAGAGGAGAACAAGCATTATTTAATCTTGAGATTAAGAAAAAGAGGAGATTGATCTCAATATCCACCATTCTAAAGTTTTAAGCTCAGTGTCTATTAAATATAGTCTGGACATAATATAGTCTGGGCATAATATAGTCTGGACATAATAACTAAACAATTAACTTCAGTAGTCGGCATTTATATCAATACAATAAAGACGACTTCTTTATGTAAAGTTATGCTTTCTAACAAGCCTCTTTTAAATTACAAGTTTACAAGTAAACAAAGAGAAGCTGATATTTGACGGCCTTTATTTGTTTTGACGTAAATATGTATTCATGCTGTTTGAAAGCTTGGTAGGAATCAAAATTGAAATCCAAAGTCGTCCTTATTATAGTTTTGATATGTTCGACGACGACTAAAATGTTTTCTTACCTTCAGCCCATCGCCGAATCATAGATGGAGATACGTTCGGCCTGCAGTTTTTAGAGAAATAAGATTGTTAAAAGATTATAAACACGAGTGACCTTAATATTTACTAAGTGCCAATAACAATTAACAAGGATATTTTTATGACCTATGAAAACTGACAACATGAAATCACAGCGCGTTTTGTAGAAATTTACTCACGGATTTCTCGAAAGAAAAGTCGACCAGACCGGAAGAAGATGACCAAAGACGAGCGTTTATGTCACTTTTATTTGATTGACGTTAATTTCAAGTTTTTTAATTGATTTTACCTGTAGCACAATCCAACAATGGCCTGAACAAAATTCAATTGTTATTTCTATTCAATTTTAAGAGGTTTTTATTCTTCACTTTGACTTACATGAGCTTAGGCATGAAAAGTTTCATATTTGTCGAAGGCAAATATAAAATAAGCAACATTTTACATTGGCAGAGAAGGTGTCCTTCTATATTTTGCGGATTTTTAGAAGTAAAATCGCACATATTTTTTTAACATGAATTGAATTAATCAATATATCTAATCGTCTTGTGTTATCATTTCAGAAAATATGTTTTTTGTTGTTTTTTAAACTTAAGTTTTTTAAACCATACTACAACAAATCAAAAATTATAAAATTCTGGGAAAAAAATATCTTGTTCCGCATTATAACACAAGACAGTTGCATAAATAGATATTTAAATCTTAAAGACATTGTGCACTTAAAGATATTAGATGTGTCCAAAGGGCGGGGGGCGGGAGGGGGGTGCTTTTGGTCGACTGAGTCCGAAAAACTTCATTAATTTGTATTATTATTTTGTACAGTATAATTATATATATGAGGTACGCTGTATTTCGAAAAGCGGGTAGTTTTCAGTCAATGTTGAGATATCAAATATGAACACAATCATGTTATTGTGCATTTACAATTGCTTAGCCTGCAATTTGGCGTTCTAAAAAACCTCTCATGACATAATTGGACTGTTTTTGAGGCTTTTCTCCTGTCAATTTGTTTTCCCATTTATATGTTATTTACAGGGTGTCCCAATAAACATGGGAATTCAGTGGCGAATTCGATATTGTCTTCTCAAATAATTCTTTGATTTAGTAAAGTGATACCTACTGAGAAAGCTATGTTCACAGTTATTCACCGTTTTCATAAAATGAACTCTATCAGACATAATAATATTATGTCTTTTGAAATCAGATATTACAATGCTAATTCATAACAAAGACGATATCGAATTCGTCACTGAATTCCCATGTTTATTGGGACACCCTGTATATACCCTACTAACCGGAAAACCTAAAAATGCGTATGACATTCGTATTTTTAGGTTTGGACTATACGTTAAAATAGGTATTTTCCATGCGTATGATATACGTATTTTCGTAACACTTTCCTTGGTAAAATTACGTATTTCATATTCGTAAAAAATTGTATATGACAAACGTTAAAATGCGCATGCAAAAAACCTAAAAACCCAATGAATCCTGATTTTTTAGGTTCATCCTATACATAAAAATACGTATTTTTAAGGCATATTCAAGTTCTAAAACCGAAATGTTAAGACGCTTATGACTATAATTTTGCATACGCAATGTTCCTTCATATCCATACAACTAATTCCACAAATTTCTTATATCCATATTCAGATCAATTAATTTCAATCCAATATTCTTCTAAATTCACACCATCTTGATTCCTTCATCTTAATCAACATTCATAGTTGGACGTGTGAGTAAGAGACATTTTATAATTATGAATAAAGAAGACGACAAGAATTGCACTGTGTTCTGGTTCCCAATATAGAATTACCTCTCTTAAATCGACAGCTGTGTACAATAAAAGATCAACATCGGCCTTATCCTTCAAAGTTGATCCGTCCAAACCAAACTTACAACCTGCAAGTCAGAATTTTTATGTTGTTAATCTTGGGATTAAGCATTGATCTCCATCTTATGCAGAATTGCAGATCAAAGGATTGATTTAATCCCTCTTCAATTTCCGTGGTGGTCATACCTTACAGAGATAACTTTAATTGGTGGATCCAGCATTTATCCTCAAGTTTATAAGTGCCTACATTGGATCTATCACTATCAAGTGTACAAGACTAACGATACTCAATCATAAAAGTTCCGAACTTTGAGCTGAGAACTTTAGAATTAGATTCCCTTAATCCTGATCGCATGATCTCAATATCCAATTTGGACACTTTTTATTTCCTGCCTAAAACGCTTCTTCTCTCTTTTTTAGATATTCCTACTAGATTCCGACCAATAAGAGTTCTCTCATTAAATGGCGCGGAAAATTTAAAGTTTCCCGGTTTCTGATTGGCTGTCAGGGATTCTGTATACGCCACTTTATTGGTAGAATTTTTTACACCTTGTCAGGATACAAACTAAGGATTAAATTGATCTTGAGATTAATAAAAACAGGAGATCTAGCATTGATCTCAATACCCACAATTCTAAAGTGTTCAGCTCTGACAAAAATTTACTTTCGCATTTCCCTTTTTTGATGAAATCTTAGGAAATGCTTCTTGGACCCCTTCCCCCCCCCCCATCTACTTTAACAAGACAAAAACCTTAGTGACTATCCTAACTATCATAACCAATGATTAGTGTGTGTAAATCTTCACATTGAATGGGGGTTAGGGGGGTGTTCTCAAATTAACTAAAATCTTTTTTTAAATTCACACATTTTCTTAATTAAATACTTTTCTACATACAAGTGCTGTATAGATATTTCAAATATTTTAGAATACCCTGCATACATAGGTCTTTGCAGAGCGTCTTTATTTTTGAAATACTTTTTCGGAGAAATACATAAAAAAAAGATAATCAAGTTTGTAATCTTAAATAAGAATAATGTTCTACACTCTATTGAACATGGTATATATATTAATACTATTTAGTTATTCATAACAAGATTACATGGGGCATCACTATAAGTACATCTATAATATCACATATTTAGATGTTGCTGACTTTTTGTTGAAAAAGGGACAGATTAGAAATTTGTTAGTTTTGCGTGAACTTTCAATGCTAAGTCAAAAATTTAAACAAATTTTTTCAATTTTTCATAAAAAAAGAACTTTTAGAAAACATGATTTTATAAAGGGAGATGAGGTATTTATATTTCTATTTTTATTGAGGGTTCTAGGGAAAGTTAAATTCGATAAATATTTGGGAAAAGGTGAAAATCAAGTTTTTTATTCAAGCTTATACATTATAGCCCTGCAATAAGGGGAGGGGGCTGGGGGGGGGGTTATCCCCATATTCTTTTACTTATTTTGGACCTTTATAGCAGCCTATAAAAGGTTAGGTGAAGATAGATGGATAGATAAATAGATTTTTTTAGTACATAATAATATATTCTTGCTTTACTTATTTAAACCTTCCTGAACAGATTGAAAAGAAATCCTTTAAAAAGAAAACATTTAAACATTAGAACTCCTACTTATATGACTAAGTCACGGTGATTTAGACATTCTAGGTCAGGTTTAATAGCCATCAACCATTTCATTCATTCATTAAATATGATTTTTTTCTATTTTATCCTTTTTTCGTTTTAAGTTTTTAAGATACAAGAATAGACGATCTATGCTCTGTTTTATAGATCAAAATCTAAATGGGTATATTCCAAAAACACTAATTATACATACTTAGCTCCGAAGCTGAATTTAAAGAATTTGAACCGCGTCTATGACTCGGTTCAAATTTTAATCTGTATTTGTGGAGATTTGAGCCAGCGCGCAGATTGAACCGCGCCGGTGATTGGCGGTTTAGCTACGCAGTTCAAATTCATTAAATTCGGTCTCTGGTTAGGTCTTACCCAAGTGTTGAATAATCGCCATGCTCTGAGTTATTTTTACATCTTCATCCTACACAATATCTAATTAACATTAAATCATGAAATACATATTTTATAGTTAGATAAAAAGTTATAGTTAGATAAAAAGTTAGTTCGGTAGTTCTTTAGATTATATTTAGTTAGATAGTTGGTTAGATAGTTTGTTAGATAGTTTGTTAGATAGATATTTAGTTAGATAGTTGGTTAGATAGTTTGTTAGATAGTTTGTTAGATAAAATATTAGTTAGATAAATACATAGTTATATAGTAAGTTAAATAGTTAGTTGGATAGCAAGGCTTTGTATATATTCCTTTGTGGTAGAGAGTTTTTCAACTGCTTCAAAAAAAACTTGATGGTTATCATAGAAAATATATTTCTATATTTTAAATATCCTTCCCAATTCTTGAGGTGTAGTGTTTTGTAAGTTTAATTCAGGGAGGTATGTGTGTCCTAAATAAAGGTGTAGTGCTCATGAAAGAGAACATAACACTAAAGTAAATAACATAAAAGATTGAAATCTTCAATGTTATGACAACTCCTCATATATATTTTAAACTGCTAATGTTTAACCGAATAAAATCAAACCTACAGGAGCTACGAGGTCACAAAGTGATACCAGTGATGTCCCATAAATTTTATCTTTCCTTTCTGTCTAGTTAGCCGTGCCGAAGCAGAAAAAAATAGTATTTTAAAAAAAAATTATCCTAATTAATACTTAAGAATTATGGTGGTAAATCAAGAACAGAAGAAAAATATTTGAGAAAAATGGAATTTGTTGAATTTTGATAAAATACCTGATAAAAGGGTAGGTTTGGGAAATCGTATCCTAAAGTTTGTTTATACTTCATCCAATCTGGTCTCGACATCAATATTCTCCTGGTAAACATGTAAACAATGATGGTGAGCTTAAACGGACTATTAGATAATTTCAAGTTACCCTCCGTGCAAAGATGGCAATGCCAGATTTAAAACATGTACCCTTGAAAGATTTGTTTGATGATGGTAAAAATTAGATATCAATGATTTTTTAAAACTGTTTATTTTCATTTGCGGTTTCTCTGCGAAATTAACTTTTCTTGTTTACAAGAAGCATTGAGAAGAAACTCATAGAAATAAACAGTTTTAGAGTCACAACAGAAAAACGACTGTATCCTTCACATGTTTGATCAGATTAAAGTTTAAAGTGACCGACACAAACCCAAAACTCTTGAGAGAGGGGAGGAAGGCAGCCAAAGCAATTTCTAGTCCGAGTCACATTCTCCTCATTTTCTCTTCCGAGCCACCTCGAAATCTTCGTCCTTCGAATATTATCTTTTTAAAGTGTTCAATTCTCCAAGATAAACAACTTTTTAAGAATCCGGTCACGTTAGAGCATTAAAGAAATATTAAATTTTTGTAAATAGAAAGAAATAGTTTCAATAAAATTTAAGTTTTTGAGTATTAATGTCCTGAAAAATATTCACCTTTCTGACGCGCATTTTCATAGAATGCCGCAAATAATTCCAAGTTTATAGAACTTTGATCTTTTTTTGCTAATTTTAGCAGAAACCATAGAAATTTTTCGGGTGGTTGTTCCATGCGGATAATTATAGGCAGAGGTATGCCAAATGTTTTGCTATTTATTATGTATCATAAAGATTAGCCATTACGGAGGCAGCAGAGATTTAATTTTCATCTAAATAAAGTTTGACATTATTCTCATGGCTTTGAAGATTTCAACATCATGTAATCATTGCAATATTTTAGTCCATACATATTACAAATTTTATGCCCTAACGTAGCCTGATTTTTAAAAGATAGCTTTATCTTCAAGATTTAGAAACTTAAAAACACATAATAAGCGAAGGACGAGGATTTCGAGGTGGCTAGGACGAGAAAATTAGGAGAATGTGGCTCGGACGAGAAACTGTTGTGGCTGGCCTTCCTCCCCTCCTTGAGACCGAGCTTCACATCAAATGGATAAAACAATAGAGATGTAAAAATATAATTAAGGCTATTGTTACAGTAAACATATAACGTGTGATTTTAGTTAAGAAAATTAATTATAAATTAAGATTTTTATAATATATCTAATTCATTCGTGTAAATTTTAAAATCATTTCATATGTGCTGAAGAAAAACTGAAACCAAGGAATTGAATACTCTCTGAATTATAATTTTTTATCTTTATATCTTTGCAACCTTATGATGTCATCCTTTGACTATTTCAAACCATGAATTATGTCAGATCAATATTCAAAGTATGGAATATCCATCCAGTTTCAAAGATATAAAAATGCAACAATAGATTTTGTGTTTAGTTTAATCTGATAGAGAATTGTAAGATCTATAATAAAATTAGATTAGATTAGATTAGATTAAATTAGATTAGATTAGATTAGATTAGATTAGATTAGATTAGATTAGATTGTTTAACCTGTCTTCATACTGAGCTCCAACATGCTCCAAGATAAGACGGGCTGGCTGGGTGTTTCCTCTACAAGAATACAAATTCTATTCAAATTAATCATACCAGAGCTGAAAACTTTAGATTGAGATATCCTAAATCCCAATTACTTAGCCTGAGTATCCAATTGACACACTTTTGGTTTTCTTCTTAAACCGTTCTTTTTGGATATAGTAGAGAAAAATCAAAAACCGTTTTTTTTTATTTTAAGAGTTTCTGTATATAATCTTAAATGGCGCGCAAAATTTCAAATTTATCGGCTTTATATACGCGACTCTGATTGGTTGAATTTTATACACTTTTCAGGATACAAGTACAAAATTAGGTTATGTCTTGATATTAAGAAAAAGAGAGGATCAAGCATTAATCTCAATATCCACCATTCTAAAGTTTTCTGCTCAGGCTTCTAAAGCGCTTCGCGTCACTCTCTCTCTCTCGCTGCAGAAGTTTATTTCTTTAAAAAGCAACTATTTGTTTGTGTATACTGTTTACTGCATACTGTATACTGTATACTTTATCCTGTATACTGTATACTAATAAAACTAACTATTCTGTTTTTTGACAGATTTTCAAAAATTTGACAAATTTTTAGGAATTAGATTTCAAGCAGTTATATCTGCAACTATCTAAAAGTTTATAATCAACCTGACATCCCAGTATCCAAGAACAATAGTCTTAGCCATTTTTAATCTAGAGCAATTGTTGCACTCGATTTTGGTTTTGAGCTTATTTATTTATTGAGATGGAAACGAACAGTTATCAAATGCCTAAATTGCAGGAAAAAAATATATTTTCTCAAAGGGGGGATGGCAATTTTTTTATTTCCATATTAGCCTCATAGTAAAAATATCTATTTCTAAGAAAATTAATTTGAGTTGGACCTCAGGAGTAATATTCCCGATTAACAATTCAGAGCTGAAAACTTTAGAATGTGATATCCTTAATCCGAATCTGTTGACTTTTCAGGAGATTAAATTCATGTGGAGAACAAGCCATATTTAATCTGGATATTAAGGAAAAGTTTGGTTTAAGCATTAATCCTGATATGCACCATTCTAAAGTTTTCAGCTCAGTACATTCTAGCCGGCCCAACCATTTAACTTGTAAACAACCAGAGCTGGGAACTTTTGAATGGTGAATATCGGGACTAATGCTTGATCCTCTCTTTTTCTTAATTTCGAGATTAAATATTGCTTGTTCTCCTCTTCTTAATAATCTCCAGATTAATTATCCGATTGAGATTAAGGATATCCTATTCTAAAGTTTCCAGCTCAGGAAGCTTTTGTCAGTTTTCTTTTGTATTAAAAAGTTGTAAATTATCCTAAGGTCCTTGCTAGTCTCTGCTTTAAAATTAGTGATATTTCTAAAGAGTACAATTTTAAGATAAAAAAGGGTAAGAGAGTATTATTGTGAATCTAACATGTATATAACTATTACGTCCCTCGACGACCGACCCTGATTAAAGAACTCCCCAGTTAATTGCAGTAATCTGAATTTATTTAGAAAACAAAGCAAACATTTTAATAGATAATCATTGAAGAATTGCATTTAGATAAGAACAGCGTTTTTTTTGTGCAAATCTAAATGAAAGTAAAACTTTGAAAGTTCACTTTGTATTCCTCAATTCAATTACACTAGAAAGGTAAAAGTAACAAAGTTTTTCAATTGTATTTTATTTCTTCACCCGCACTGAATGTTATTTAAAGGGACTGTTCTGAAAAAAAAACTGAAGTATCACTAGACAAAAATACCGATATATTAAAAATACTTTGTTTGGGTAAACACATTAAAAATTAACTGTGTCTTGAAGAAATAATGATTGTTTGATAATTTGTAAGGAAGACTCCATTTGCGAGGAGAAGAATCTTTTTTTGCATTGTTTGCGATACAACTACAGTGTTCCAAAAAACATGGGAATTCAGTGACGAATTGGATATCGTCTTTGTTATAAATTAGCATTGTAATACCTAATTTAAAACCCTTAATATGATTATGTCTGCTAGAGTTTATTTTATAAAAAGGGTAAAAGACTGTAAAGATGTGCCTATAATGTCTCCGCAAGATGAACAGTGAAGACGGACAAGTTTACTCTGTTTGTATACTGCAATTTTCTTGTATTACTAACCGTATGCAGTCAAAACATAAACAAACAAAATGTGAACATTGCAGACGTACGAAACTCTTACAGATTACTGTAATGGAATAGGGTTTCTTCTTTTAATTTGAATGATTTAGAACTATTCATAAGAAATATTTATTCTTCTTTAATTTCTTCTTTATTTTCTTA